AGGTTCAAGTAGCATCGTGTAAATATTAAAATAAATATCATTTCGAAATAATAATTTATCTGCAACTTTGTTTTAGTAACAGTTATGCCGACATAAGCCACTCTTAACGTACTCGTATTGCGGAAACTGCTCATACAATCTTTGCGAACTTTCTCAGAGCGGTTCAATGCACCAATGAAAGTCAAGTTTATGTGATCGGAAATCTCTTTCACTACACAATACTATTACGTTTTCATCTCTCTCGCATTGGAGAGGTGGAAAACGAGAAAAACTTGAAAATGTTAATTCATTACTCATAAGATAATGAATAGTTCAATTAATCTCTTCAGAGCACTGTTTTCACGAATTTTTATTAATGTAAATACAAAATATAACCGCCGATTGGGAATATTTATCAAATTGATTGGTTTATGTAACATGATGTATTTTTTATTGTTTTCTTGCTTTTTTTTTCATTTTATTTGTTTTAGCTGCAGTCACATCTATTGAGAACTCTTTGTCTTATAAGCTGTTTGTTTGAAGACTTAACTTACTGTTTCACGAGAAGCAACCCAGCGGTTGCTCTAACCATCTAAATTTATATTCAAATATTTATACTCAAATGATATTATTATTTATTTATTGGCTTACAAATTAATATACAATATTATGTAAGACTTAACCTACTATTTCACGAGAAATAACCCAGTGGTTTCTAACTTTTTCGTGCCGCCTTCCCCACCAGTTTTCTTAACAAAATATTGGCTTTCTTAACTTTTCTAATAATCTAACTTCATAAATACTCAAAAGATATTAAATTTTATTTCTCGGGCTACAAATTAATATACAACATCATCTAACACTTAACGTACTACTTCACGAGAGGCAATCCAGTGGTTCCCAACCTTTTCATACCGCACTCCCCTGTTTCCTTCACACATTATCGGTTTCCTTAATTTTTCGAACAATCTAGTTTAATAAATACTCAAATGATGCTATAATTTATTCATTGGACTACGAATTAATATGCAATATTATGTAAAAATATACATAAAAATCATTTATTCATTCATATTTTTCAAATCAATTTGATTTTTTTGGTTTATTTTGGAAACATCTGTACTGACTAAACATTTTTCAATACAATCACTCAAAAAACGCACCAAAAACTATGTTGGAAATACATGGAAGAAATACGTTTTCACTCTTCTGAGTGCTTTTTAAAAATGAAAATTTGCAATTCAAACATACCAACAAAATGAAAAATCTATTAAGAAAATGAATTTAAAATTTTCAATATAGGTCGACTTTAAGAGGCTCTTCTTTAAAAAAAAGTGTACTCATTAAAAATTGACGCATTTAATCAGTCACCCAAATTCATTAGCAAACTCTTTGATAACAGAACTATCCAAGAAGATTGAAAAGAAAAGCGCCACTGGATTTAAGTTATCAACTCTCCTGATAAAAAATGAAAATAACTTACAATTAGTCATTATTTATAAGAAAATATTTTATAAGTAAATAGTTAAAATTACATAATGATTAATAAAATATTGTTAATATTATATCGAATGGGAAAACAACTACTGAGTTGTTTTTCCAACATGCCCCTTTAGTATACAATGTCCCTTTATTGGCGACTATTGTAAATTCCTCAAATTTATTAAATGTCCTTAAATAGACAGTTGTAAATAAAAGAGATAATAAAAAAAAATATCATATTGTAAAATGTTGAAATACTTAATAATTTTATTATTGAAAAATGTAGAGTAAAAATAAAATAATCAGGTATTTCATAATTTAACAATCCTAATTAAATGTGCCAACCTTTGATGAAACTTGCCAACACACTTTAGTACATTTTTTTAAAGATATCTGAAGATCGAGCGATATTAAAAATTTTAAATTTATAGTTCAACAAAAAGTCTTAATTCTTGAAAACTTGAAGCAATGTGGTATTTTTTACTGTGATCCTAGAAATGTTACACACGGTTTCGGTTCCAAAGTTAAAATAAACAAAATTAATTAAAGTTAACCACAGTAAATAAATGAGTAAGAAAAATGGTCATAATTTTACCAAAGCTCTAGATGCACTTAGCTTATAATTTCCAAACAACGTGATATTTAGGACAGTTAGGTTAGGGTCAATACTATCACCCCGTTTCGGCTTGACGTCCAGGCCGGGGATACCCTGTATATAATTAGGATCACAAATATTGTATCTGGTATAGTTTAACTATTTACATAATAAAAAATATAAAAAATTTCCTACACGCTTATAGAAGATGCTTCTATATCACAAGGTTCACATCCATATGAATAGAATTAATTAAGAATATGAAGATTTAACTAATGTTATTTACCACACAGTTGAGCGGCCGACACCTCGAACAGGTGCCTTACATATTAAACATTACGCGTTCTGCATAAGTAATAACAAATATATATATATATATATATATATATATATATAATTATATATATATATTTGTTTGCGGCTTAGACCATATTATTCGGTAAAAATATGCATAGAACTATATTTGTTTACAACGCTTCGGTAGAAACGGCGATGGTATTTTTCCTTTCCAAAACACTCGCCAAGATGTACAACTTCGAAGTGGCCATGATACAACTGTAGGTTTGCAAACGTTAGATTCAGGTTCGATACCCTCATTGGACAGCTTGACATCAAGCAGTAGTAATATAAGATTCTCACAAAATATTATAGATCTGAGAATATGATACTAAGTGTCCCAAAATATCTTTGTGGGATATATATTGATACATCTTTATTATAATTACATCTAATAAATTTTATCAGAAAGATAATGGTTAACTATTGGGTTGCCTTCTAGAAACACTAGATTATGGAAGCTTATAGAATATATACATAGTTTTGATTGCTGTTCAGATACATAATACGCAACTTCAATAACATCTTTAACAACAGATTTAGTAAATTTTTATACATTAAAAACGTTACTAAAAAGGTGATAGAAAGTTTTAAAATATAGTTTAAATATAATTGTTAACTTCTTACTTAACACACTCTGATTTGAAGGCGACCAAAATAAAACTGATAGCTCAAACAAAATTTTGGAACTAATTTTTAGAATTTAGAATTTTATAGATGTTTTTCCATAAATTAATTTTGCTAAATTTGAAAAAAGCGTCGAAAATGCTATGGAGAAAAATATAACCTCCTTCATATGATTTGATCAATAAAAAAATTCAAGACGGTCATTTCGAAATAGTTAATTAATCCTGGGTTCCAACCCAGCTCGATATCAAGCAATATGCTATTCAATTTCTGTATCAGGTTATGGATCTCATACAATCTCAAGTGAAGATCCTCTTTCGTGGGCATTGCAGCAACATCTATATACAAATATAGGGCAGGTTGTGATCTGAGTTAAACTCCAACTCGATTCAGGGAAAAACAGTGTGAGAGATTTCCCATCGCCATTTCACACCGCAGTGCCCGATGTGGGCTATTTTCAATTGGAAACATACTTTTGATCTATATTTTCAAATGATAATCAACATCGCTGCTGCATGATGCAGGTTGTTCCTTCGAGAAAAATACTAGAATATAATACCAAGTAAAAATATCTTTTTGGGATATTGCTCCAATATATATTGACATCTTTATTAGAATTATATCTGATAGCAAACACAAGACATAGAACTTGGAATTTAATTTTAAAACTAGTGGTGTATGGCCTCGTGTCTTAAGGCAAATTGCTGGTATTTCCCGTACCGTAACAAAATGTTGGAGAAATATTAAATGTTTTCAAATAGATTATTATGTATACTGATTGTATAATATTTATAAGAATTATATAAACTGAATTGCGAAGTTAAAATTATTTATTTAATGTATATAAGTGAGCTTTAGAACTGTAGCCAGAATTAAAATTAAAACCAGAATTATTTACGAAGTACAAACAAAATTTAATTTCGAAATAAAAAAAAATCCACAAACAATTGTTTCATCAACACAAGCAGAAAGTTTTTTGAATCATTCAAATAAGATGCTTAGTTCTCTCAGAAACTGCCATTTTTTGCACATTTCGCTCCGTATCTCTGTAACGGCTGGACCTGCCTTTGCCAAATATTAATCAGCACATCTCCCTATCAATAGGAATCGAACCATTCAAATCGGTTGATCCGTGCGCTCGAAAACGTGGACGAAAAATAGTGGATACACAAAACACACACACACATCCATTTTTTCTTAGGTATGCCAAAATGTTCAGAAACCTCTGAAACGTGAAGATGAACAAAAATTTTCATTTTCGATTTCTTACCCTACGGGAAGTTAAAAATGTATATATTCTTTTCGTCAGGGATGATGCTTGGGAAAACACTCAAAATCAGAATTAATCATTTGACCAGAAACAGCAAATTTAAAATATTTAGTTTATTATCCAAATTACTATATATATACTCTATATGCTATATTTATGAATTATATCAATATTCTTAATTATCATTGGACTTGAATAATACTTCTATTAATCAAAACGTGTTTTTTAAAACCATAACAAATTATCTACTCTATTTACTCGACCTAACCATCCATTTAAATATTTATAATAACGCAAACACAAAATATATAATATTAGTACATTCTTTATCTTCTAATAAAATGTGTCATTGAAAATATTTCAATACTAATAGATTCGAATGTAACTTTCGCGACACCTACACGAAACGCTCAATACTATCCTCATTGTAACTTTTGGTTATGGTCGTGTTTAAACATGATAAATATTGACTGAATAAATATTATATAATAAATATTAATAAATTCGAAAATTATTCATATCGCGATAAACGAGCATGCCAATATTCTGTAATATGTGATATATAATATGTCAAGCACGTTCGCAGATTATTTTGGAGTATTGGAATTAAACAGTCTAGACAACTTTTAATATTGGTTCAACGTTTAGTGTATACTTTGACTTCAATTATTAATTAAAGATATTAATGTGTGCTTAAGTTAAATTACTTACTGAATATGTCCTGGTTTGTTTAAACTTCCATCAAAATTCACAGTAATAGGAGCTTTTGTAAAACACTTCTGTAAAAAAGGAAAAGTGCATCAGACATCCTGAATTGATATACTGTTGCTATTTACAATATTTATACAAAAATACTCTTTAATTAAAATCTCATATGAATGATTCAAATCAAAACGCAAGACATTAAGATAGTGCTTACTCTTGTAAAAGTTACAACGATGAAATCCCACGTCAGACAGATATATTAGGTTAGCCACTTAGGTTTTCAGCTTAAAATTTTAAGGTTTGCTGACGTAGTCCAAATATAAAATACTTTTTGCTAACGGATATAGTAGGCAATTCAGATGTCCATCAGTAAAAAAAGTTTTTTGTTCGATTGCGTTCGTTGAAAGATGGAAAATCTAATCAAAAAATTTTGTCATATTTTGCTTCTTATTTTTGCAATTGTTTGCATTATTTCTACAAAGTTATAGGGCATCTTAATCTTACAAAAAGTTAAGAGTTGTTTATGGTGGCAAAGCCTTAAAAAAACGGCAGTGTTAAAATTGGTTCGCCAAATTTTACTGGTGATACCTGATTCGCTAACAAAAACCAGAAGTTTTATGAAAGTGGCTTAAAGATGTTCCTTGAAAAATGACATAGTCAATTGATCAAAGTGGATAATATATACAAAACTAGTGGGGCGCGTGGCATGGTGCCTTAAGGCAAATTGCTGGAACTTTCCGTATCGTAATTAAGAATCTTGGTACGGAACCCAAAAAATTTACACAAAATGTGTACACATTGTCAAAATCTCTATAAAACATCTGATAATTTGATGCACATGTGTCCAATAAACATTTTTGACCGCCAAATGGCAATTTTTTAACTTATGTTTATTGAGAGTCCATAACCGCTAGACCTGCCTCTCCAAAAATTTAATCAGTTCTTCATCTTGCCAATACAAGTAAAATGTTTTTCTGAATTATTAAAATCGGACGGTCCGTTCTCTTAAAAACTTAGTTACCGTTTTTAGCACTTTTCGCCCCGTATCTTCGGGACAAACGAGACTTGCCTCCGCCAAAAATTAATCAGCACGTCTCCTTATCAATACGAATCAAATGTTTTTTGAATTTTTCAAATCGGTTGATCGGTGTTCCCGAAATCGTCGACGAAAATTTGTTTCCGCACCCACACACACACACAAATTTTCATTTTCGATTTTTTACGATTACTATAACTTACCCTACGGAAAGTTAATAGAGATATTTAGTACCAAAAATTAGATTTTCTAACAAAAATCCGCATTTACTTACTCGCCAAGCTAATATCAGGTTGGGAAAAAATATATTTTTGCATGAAGTTTCATTGAATTTTCATTTGGTCCTGCTTGAAAAATGACATGAAGTCATTGATCAAGATGGATGGATAATACATTACAGAATAGATATTTAGTTTCATGAAAAAATTGATTTTCTAACAAAAATCCGCACTTACTTGTTTGCCAAGCTAATATCAGGTTGGGGAAATAAAAATACATTATTGTTGCATGAAATTTCACGAAGTTTTCATTTGGTCCTGCTTGAAAGATGACATAAAGTCATTGACCAAAATAGATAATACATATAGAATAAAGTTATTTAGTACCATAAAAATTTAGAATTTCTAACAAAATTTCGCACTTACTTACTTGCCAAGCTAATATCAGGTTGGTAAAAAGAAATACATTATTTTTACATGAAATTTCATTAAATTTTCATTTGGTCCTGCTTGGAAGATGACATAAAGTCATTGATCAAGATGGATAATACATTACAAATTAGTTATTTAGTTCCATAAAAAATTAGATTTTCTAACAAAAATCCGCACTTACTCCTAGCTGTGCTCCTTACCCTGTAAAGCCAGATATAGAGTTCATTATTACTAAAGCAATTTAATTTAAAAAGTTGAATTTATATATTTTTGAATAAAGACAGACTGTTATAGTTTGCTCCATATCAGTTGTAAGTTGATTAAATAAATATTTGAGTCGCTCTATTTAAGTGTGCCCCACCTTACCCTATTCTTAAAATTGTGATCATGATTATTTGGAATCAACCTTCACCTGCCAGTATGAAAGCCGCTGGTTTATAATACATATATTTTATTACGTTTATCGTAATCTAGTTTTCATCAATTATTTTATTAAAATTTCACGTGAATTTTCTCTGATTCTGCAATACATAATGCAACTGGAGGTTGCGTGATCGGTTGCCATAGTTGAACAAATATTCCAAGTTTGCTTTCGAGATATCGCGACTGAAAATAAAATGCAAACTTTGCTGATTGCGAGGCCCTAGGTCATGGGAATGCGATTTACTGATAATTATTTCATGCTTGTTAATCACATTGTCCTCATAAATAGAACATATAGTATTTTTAAAACGTTTCGTTTGATAAAACTATTTAGATCGATGAGATTCTGTCAACATTGATAATATGCAAATATTTAATAACTGGATTAACGTCATGTGATTTTAATTATATTTATGTTTCAATAATAAGTATTCTTTACGCGCTAAAGATTGCGCGAGGTTTTGATTCGTTCTCATCTTTTATGCTTATAAATTACAATTTTTACCAAATAAACGAAAACCAAACAGTTGTCCATTTCTGTAATGAATTTAAATATTACAATTACTGTAATACTGATAATTTTTTTATGCCGGGTAAGGGCTATTTTTACTTGGAAATAAATTCCTTTCTATACTTTCAAGTGGAAACAGATATCACTACTGCTTGATATCAAGCTGTCCCACACAGGTTCAAGTCCACGAGGAATTTTTGATTTAAAATCTAATCCATAGCCTTAACTAATCCACGGGGGACCCTCACTAAGGTTCATAAACAAAATTATTTGATTGTTATTTTTAGTATCCAATGTTATTTGTTAATAATAGGTTGTCAAATATCTCCCTTCCGCCTTTTTGTATTATAAACCAAGAGCAAAAAAGCGGAAGAGAGATATTTGACAACCTAATATTCAATATCCAAGACAAGTCAAATATATATATGTAGGTACTTGAAGATTTTCCTTAGATATCTCAATTTATGCATCTCAGCTGAGCATGAAAACAAACTTCTTCTGTACAAAGTCATGTTGAAACCAATTTGGACGTACGGAATACAGCTTTGGGGAACGGCGCGCAAATCCAACATCGCCATAATTCAAAGATTTCAAAACAAGATTTTGAAAGAAGTTATAAACGCACCCAAGTATGTCCCAAATTGGTTGGTTCATACAGGTTTGAACATGAACACGGTTAAGGAAGGATAGAATACAGAACCACTTAAACATCATGGCCAAAATCTTAATAAAAAGCCATGGCATTGAACGGTTCAGAAGAAAACGGTTCTTTTTTACTATTCTTCAGTAATCCTATAATATGTACAAATACACGTAGGCTTTATTTAATTTTTTTCACATCAGGAATACATCTATAAGCTAAACATATCCAACATCGAATCGGATCACCACTAGGTGACCATTCGACCTTTTTTCCTCATTTAATAAACCATTAAAATTGCTGAATGTTGTTTATAACGACAGATTGTAATTCACAAATGTAAATTAAAAAAATCTTATGCATGCAGCTTTTTTTAGGCTTTAATTAACCTTTGTTAATAAACTGCTTCTCTTATAAGCCTATAATATTTTAAGGGGTCCCGTTTTACCTTAGACTATCACCGCACATTGTGTTTTTAAGTTTAATTATAATTATTGTATTTAAAGACTAAAATTTAAAAAAAATTGAAACATAATTTTTAAATTTGGACAAAAATACTCGTACCGCTGGTCAATGAAATCTGTGGAATTTGTTTGTTGTTATTTATGAGTAATACATATATCAATATTTTTATAGAAAAAAATCAAGTACATTTTTGTAATGCATAAGTGAAATATTTCATTCATTATCCGATATAATTGTAATAATCATTAAAAAGAAAAATATTTTATTGCAACTACTTAAAGAACGAGTGCATCTATAGTCTGTTACAAACTAGATTAAATATAAAATATCATTGGAAGATGTAAACAAATTATAGTAATAAATAAAAATGAATTGCTATCATACGATGTTTTTCAAATTGATGTTTCTAGATCAAAAATATTATCAATTTAAAAAATGCTTGCATGTCCATGTGCAGTTTCTGAAATGTCATTACCTACATTTACGAAGTTGAAAAAATGCATAGAATTTATTAATAGTCAGCAGAAGTAGATTTTGTCATAAGAAAAATTAATTATAAAAATTGCAATGTCATATTGAACAAAAAAATGACATGATATAAATAAATCCTCAATGATTTTTAAACTTTGATCGCTATAGTTGCAAAATATTAAGATCACTGACAGAATATGATAGAAGATTGCCATTGAAATTTATTAAACTAAATCATATTTATACATATTTAATTAATGAAATAATATCTGTATGAGTATGCATTTTCTATATAAGAAATGTGTTATGATCTCACCATATGTGCTCAAGAAAATGCTGGAAAATTAAATCTGTTTGCAAGTGCATATTAATCATTACGCGCAATTAGAAACTGGTTTTTAGATAAATGCTCGAGATCAAATGTTTATAATATAAACATAACAATTAACGGAGATACATCGAATGTAAAAAAGCAAAAACAGCATTTTAATCATTTTGTTATAAATTCTTTGAATAGTTTTTGTTAGAATAATATTTATGCTAGTCATTCAGCAAGGCATATTTGATGCTGACTGTTCTACGAAAACAATACTTTAGAATTTATCATATGAATTAAATATAAAAATATATATGTACATATATATCAGTTGTTGTATATTAGTCACATGGTTGAATAATTCTATAAATTTTTATATGATCATTTGGAATTTGAAATCGGGAATACCTATGTAGAAAATAATCTCAAAATTACTTGTTACCTATTTAAGATAGTTGTAAGAGTTCTAGCTTAATAAAGAATGTAAAAAACAGTATAATAAGAAAACTACTCAAAATCTGCCATTATTTGCACATTTAGCTCTGTATCTTTGACATGGCCG